AAACCTTGCCATGCAAACCCAACACAGTTAACCATAAGTGCAAAAGTCTTTCTAAATCTACTTCCTACCACATAGTCATTTTAATTCCCTTACCATAGCACTTCCAGCACGTACTCAAATAAGGCCACTTCTGTGCCCCCTTTTTCACTGTGTAAGACGTGTAAAATGGAAAAAGAAGTTTCTCTACTGTCTACTCTTGGCCCCTATAACATAGCCACCTTGGCTACCAGGGGCAAATTCACCCCATTTTAGCAGCTCTAGACAAGAGCATAATTCAGTCAGACTCTATAGGTAATTCTGCCACCATTTTATAACAAATCTGTGGTTATCAAAAGCCCTATTTCAAAGCATAAAAGTACTTTAAGACTTGACATAATTTATTATTATTTTTTCCTTTCTAAATGGATAACGCACTTCCACTTTCATTTCACTTCAGTCTGAAAAACCACTAAAATATCGCTAAATTTTCCCAAAAAATCTGAGTAATTTGAGACCAGGGTAGAAGAGAAGAAATGGGCATCTAACAACTCCAATTAGCAGCAACCTGTATGGCGTATGCTTCCCTAGCATATGCTTCTCAGTGCATCTAGGGTTTTATTTCCCCCCATGAAAATTATGGCATCCTTTATATAAAAAAAAAATACATTTGACAAATGAAGAGAATTATCACAATAGAAAGAGGCAGCAGTGCCTGAACCACAAACACTGCTGACAGGCCACCTTTAATTGAAATCTGTATTAAATCTAAAATCCAATTAATGTAACTGTTTGGGTTGGTTGATTGCTTGGTTTGTTTTGGGGGTTGGTTTTTGTGTGCTTTTTTTGGTAGAGGTTCTTAGATAGACAATATCTTCCATACTCTTAAAATGAGATTTCCTTTCTCCTACTAATCTTCCTACCAGATGGGACTACTCCCCTCCTACAGACAAACTGGCTAGCAACATCCACTTGTATTTTAAAATTAAAATTTAATTTTCAAATTCTAAATTAATATTTACAAGGTATAACCCAAGAACTCTTCTCTTAATGTACAACAAACTCTACTCAAAACATCAAAAGTTATTTGTCCACAGATACAAGAAGCAAGTCAAAAACAATTTATGTAATAAAGTCTCGGTAGAACTCAACTCAGTTTTCAACAGTTTTAAAATATGATCCAGAATAGGTTGCAAAGAATCTATCTGGAATTAATTTGTGCATTCTCTAAAATATCAACTTTCATGCAATGCATGGCACATGGAGCACAAATTACCTGAAGTAAGTAAATGCTAACGTGGGATTGAAGAAATGGTTTCTGAAGCAGACTTTTCACTTGTTAGCCACAAAACTCTCATACCCACTGATAAAGAAAAAATATTATGGACAACTAAACTCCATCTTAAACATCCACTGACATTGGACATTAGGAAGACAAAATATATTGAAATGCGGATTGATTGATGTATACAAAGGCAGTTTGTAAACTTTTGCACAACATTAAAGTCTTTTGTGGAACAAAACCAACAAATCACTTGGGAGGACAAAGTGCAAACAAAAAGGAAAATTTGCTGAAGCCAAGCATGGAACAGAGAAAGTAGTTAAAACACAGACTGGATCTCTCTTTCAGAATATTAGGAACCATTTAACTAGAGAGCAGCATAAAACTGAACTATCCCGTATTTTCCACTTATCATCCATTCAGGTTCAGAAGCCTGAAGTTGTTCACCTTGTCCAGGCTTTAGGCCAACCTGAGTGTCAGATTTCAGTGTTCTCAAACTACAGAGAGGCGCAGGATGAAACTTGTTCAAGGCTTGATGAAAAGGAACAGTATATTCCCATTTTCTATCTCCTGTTAATTTTCTATAGTTTAGATCACCTTTAAAAAGAAGCAAGTTTGACTTCTGCAGATCAGCATAGAAGTCAGGAGCAACTTCAGTCATACTGGAAAAGTCATGTGGCAAAGTCCAAAACATGTGATCACGGTAAACCCAAGCTCCCTTTTTCAAATTGCCCTCCCAGTTTATCCCACATCTAGACATCCACATATGATTGGCAGACTGCAGTTGTTTAATAATCCAGTTAAAATCATGCTTTGTGGTGTCTGACACATACCATGGAATACTTTTTCCATGGAAGTGGACTTCATCAGCCAACTTTGACGATAACAGGAAGTCAGCCAATACAAGATCACTTACAAGTTCAAATCCAGCATTATCCAGGATTATGTCAACTCTAACATTACTTTTTTCTGTATTTCTTTTTTTGGCGTTTACAAGTAGTGACCAAAGTTTTTCCATATCATTCACTAAGATGTAAGGTACCATGTTTTCCAGGGATTGTAAAGGACTAGATTTCAGAGAGCTGGTTTTACCAGCTGAAAAAGAAAGGTCACACTTATTGCCCCACAACGACACCTAGAAGGAGGAAAAAACACAAACATTTGCTAAGTCCCACTGTAGTTACATTCTAAACTTCACATACGCTAAACATTTTGTTTGTCTGTTTTTATTTTAGGGACATGAAAGCTCTAACTCCACATTTTCCTCCAAGCCTTAATAAAATTCAGCTTCTTGTACAGAAATATTAATATAGACAAGATTTTATGGAAGAAGCTAAACAATACTCTGTATTTATGCAGGCATCAGAAACACGCATCAGAAGTGACAAAGATGGAAGATTTAGATCAAGGTAAATACACTGATCACAAAGCTTAAAACACAAATATTCTACATACTCTAATTCCAGAAAATATCAGTGGGAACACAGAAAAAGTAGTAACAAAAGCAGGTTTATTTTTTTTATTTCCTGCAGCCAAGTAAGAATTTGTATTTTAAGTACACACTAATGATGTCTTTATGAAGATTCATCAAATACTTGGTGTGCGCTGTTGCCAGCTAATGGACTTATCTGTAACCCTATGATATTTCATATTATACCCAAAGGCATTATTTTCCAGGAATAATGCAGTTACAAAGCTTTTAAACCACTTCTGGTCCAGATTGACTTCTCACATTTTTTCCAAAGAAGTCTGAAAAATTTTTAGTGTCAATAAAATGAACTCTTTTAAAATGTTATAGTTAAATTTAAAAAAGGCCATCTGGAACTGGACTTAAAATGTTTTAGAGATACTGTTTTTGAGGGAGAATAAGCTAGGTTTTCAAATACACAATGAAGACCAGTGGTATAATGAAAAAACATGACATTTAATACAAGTAACCAAAATTTAAATATTTTCAGAGTAGCAGCAATACAGCAGTATGGCTGTCAGGATTTCATTGCATTTTTACAAACAAAAGAGCTATATTTTAATTTCCATATGAAGTTCAGATTCTTTATAAACTCAAGTTTTTGTTTGTTAAATAGGAGAGAGATTTTAAATTCTTATGTTAAGCACGACTAGTTTACCTGCAATAGCTTAAAAAGTTCTTCCTGAAGTTGCTTTTCATCTAGATCCTTGATGTTTTTAAGAAGTTCCTGAAAGTAAGTGCATAAGGCAATAACAGCCTCTTGGGATTCAAAGAAATTTTGGGCCTTTCCTTCCTTAAATACGTCAAAGTTGTCAATAGGTGGGCTAAAAATAGGAGAACAAATATATTAACATGCTTGTCACGTTTTCCACAACAGCACATGAAACACACCTGAAAATGCAACCTCGAAGCTCAGATTTTTTTAGGGTGTACTACGGGCCCTAGCTAGATTTTCCACTTCTAATTTGTCATACTAGATTTTCACACGTCTCAATAACAGCCTGATATCCTATCTCACTGAAACAGTCAGTATGCAAGACTTATTTCTAGCAATATATGCTGAAAGTGAACAAGTGCTCACTCACAACAGTTCTGGGAACTGCACATACAGTGACAATTTTGAACTCCAGTCTTCAGACCCGGAGAATTAAAACTGTGACGTACAAGTGAACTGATGTAGTGAATTGCTGAATTTTAAGCGTGTTTGTGTGTGCTGAAGTGTACCTCCCAAACCAAAGTCTCTTACAGTGGTATGAAGTTATTCTTATCAAAGTTTTTAACTTGGACTTCAGAAATTAACATGACAAAGATGACAAAACAATTCAGTTCTTGTAATATACAAGAAATATAGACACATCTATTATAAGACATATTTGCACGTACACCTTTTGACAAATGATTGAACTTCCAAGCATATGCTTAACAGCAGCTACGTAACAGAGATCAAGAAACTTAAAGCTTGCTAATGAAAAGTATCTGCTCAGTTTTTTAAGTGCAATCCAGCAGATCCATCTCATATTTTAAATTTTTGCTACAGGAGTTCAAATTATGCAACATACCAGTAGAAGCAGAATCCCATTACTGTGTTTACGTCTCTGTAATACCTAAGGCAAATCCAGTATGCATAGAGCTTTCAAATTTTTTTCGCAGCAACGGGAACTTAAACTGCTCATTCCTACCCCATTACACTGTACTGGCACCTCTCCACAGTACCAGCACAACAGGTTTTTCCTGCCAAGTTATTTTTAACCGGGATCAGCTCCCAAAGTTTGGTGCAACGTATGGACTGCAAATACTGCTGTAACTAAGATGGTGTAGAATGAACAGAGGCTGCTTAAGCTGGGTCTGCTGCTATAAGAAACAGTTCTCAAATGGCAACTTCAGATTTTGAGCAGCAAAACAAGTTAGAATGCCCAACAGATCAGTGGCTCTCGCGTTCTGTGTTTTAGGCTAACATATGTCTTAAAAGATAATTCTAAACAAACAAACCTTTTAGAAATGCTAAATAACTTTCCTATCTCAATGCACATTAGTCTGCACGAAGGTCAAGATATAGTCAAGCTTAACAGTTTTTGTGTAGACCAAGTCACAGAAACTGAAGCATGAAAAAACCTAATAAGCTTCAAATTCTGCTGTAAAGAAGAAGAAAAAGTATTAATTTAAAATCTGAGGTGTGAGACAAGGGAAAAGGAATATGGTAAAACCTGTAAGATTTTCTTTTATCTTACTCCCCAGCTGTCTTCCTTTCTCCTCA